CAAAAGGCGGCGGTAGTGCGCCCGGACCTTGGCAGTCCAGACGCTGCGGATGCCGCGGACCTGCTCGGACTGCTTCTTGTCGCGGATAATTCCCCGACGCCTGTGGGTGCAGCGGCGCCCTGGCTTGTACCACCTGGCATTCCTGCGGATTTCTGCCTTGAGCTCCTCGGGGGAAGCGTACCCGCGGAAGCCCATGGACGAGTCCACCTGCACCCCGGCGCGCCGCGCGATGCGCGACACCACCTCCCGCGGGAGGTACGCACCAAACCCCTTCTTCCAAAGGCGGCACTTGGACACGTTCAGCAGCTGGAGGAATCGCCGAAGGTCTGCGGCCCCGCCGACGTCCGCGCCCATGCTGGCCTGGAACGTCGCAGCGGTCTTCTCGACTGCGGCCCCGAGCAGCGAAACGCCCGCCGCCGAGAGATCCCGGGGGCGCGGGCGCGCGGGCGCCTGCCCGGCAGGCGACGCGGTCGGAGGCGGCGCTGACAGACGTGCCAGGATGTCCTGGTGGTCGTAGATAAGCTCGCGGCAGTCGTTGCAAGACGGGCTCACGCAGCGCCGCAAAGCAATGACCTCAGATTGTCTGCGATCGAAATCGATCGGGGCCCGCGCGTCGATCGGCCGTGCAGATCCAGATCGGCCGGGCCCCGAGCACCGATCGGAGGGGGATGGATTTCGGGGCCGATCCAGAACTACCGCTGCCGCCGATCTACCGCCGATCGGCCTACAGTCCGCACCCCGACGTGGGTCCGGCCCGGAGGCGAGCGCAAGCCGAGGCAGCGGCGTCATGGACGGGGTCTCCAGCGATGGCCGTCAGGGGCTCGTTGAAGCGATCAGCGGCCTGCGCACCGTCGACCTTCGGCGTGGGGGCGACGACGGTGGTCGTCTGCTCTGGATACTTGCCCATGTAGAACTCGCCGAGCTTGAGCCGATGCTTGCCGTAGACGTCCGTGCAGTGGCAAATCGGCGCGCTGGCGGCCAGGCCCAGCCCCGCCCCCTGGCGGTCGCGTTTGAGGCTGGTAACCACGTCGTCGAGGTCGGGGAGGAGATCGGCAAGATCTTCGGACTTGCTGGCAATGACGGGTTTGAGCAGCGCGCCGTCGACGCCAATCCACGCCAGGATCACGCTGAACTCGCGCCCCTGGTCGGTGCGGACGCGGGCGGCGAGGTCCCAATTGCCGTCCCCTCTGACGACGGAGCCGCTGTAGACGTTGACGTGCTTCCGCATGTGCTCTACCAGCGGGCCCAGGAAGGCCTCCAACGCATCGGAAATGAAAGCCCTCAGCGCGTCGTTGCTAGGCACTGCCGACAGGTACCAGAGCGCGCGCGAGCCCACGGAGAAGGCCAAGCAGTTCGCACTGTAGTACTCAGCGATCGCTCGGCGGGAGGCCCGCCCGCAGAATACCTCGTTGGAGTTCTGGAGCAAGTGCAGCAGGAAATGGCGGGTCGCGAGGATGAGGCCGTGTTTCTTGGTCTGCAGCGCCAACACCCCGGGGTGCGCTGATCGCTATCGACATCATCGCCACCGTCACCGTCACCATTACCATCGCCATCACCATCAACATCAACATCAGCACCACAATTCACATCGTTATCAGCATCACCATCACCATCATTATCATCAGATTCGTCTTCGTCGTTTTCGTCTTCGTCATCGTGACCGTCGTCGTCATCGTCATCATCACCATCATCACCATCACAGCCATCGTCATTCTCCTCCTCCTCCTCCTCCTCATCATCATCATCATCATCATCAGCATCATCATCATCATCATCACCACCATCATCAGTATCATCATCATCATCATCATCATCATCATCATCATCATCATCATCATCATCATCATCATCATCATCATCATCATCATTATCATTATCATCATCATCATCATCAGCATCATCAGCATCATCATCAGCATCATCATCATCAACAGCATCAGCAGCATCATCAGCATCATCATCATCATTGTCAGCATCGTCGTCGTCGTCGTCATCATCATCATCATCACCACCACCACCACCACCACCACCATCATCAGCATCATCATCATCATCATCATCATCATCATCATCATCATCATCATCATCATCATCAGCATCATCATCATCATCATCATCATCATCATAATGAGAGGGGAGGAGGCGGATGGGGAGGAGAGGGAGAGGGAGCAGACGAAGGTGGAGGAGGAGGAGGAGGGATGTCTCGAAAGAGGCGCCAACTTCGTGGCGCAGACTCCTCTGCTTTCAAAGCAGATCGCGAGGATGTCTAAAGCAAGGAGCGAGGCGACTGTTTCGTGGGTCAGACTCCTCTGCTTCCTCTGCTTTCCAGAGCAGATCGCGAGGATGTCTCCAGCGAGGCGCTTGTTTTAGCACCCCCCAGGGGAGCCGCCAGGGGGTGTTGCACCCGCGCCAATTGCGTGGCTCAAAACTCCTCTGCTCTCAAAGCAAGTCGCGAGGATGTCTCCAGCGAGGCGCCTGTTTTAGCCCCCCCAGGGGGGAGCCGCCAGGGGGTCTTACGCCCGCCCGTTCGCGGCCAGACTTGCGGGGATGTCTCGAGCGAGACGCCCGTTTCGTGACTCAGACTCCTCTGCTTTCAAAGCAGATCGCGAAGATGTCTCCGGCGAGGCGCTCGTTTCAGCACCCCCGGGGGGAGCCGCCATGGGATGTTACAACCGCCCGTTCGCGGCCAGACTTGTGGGGATGTCTCGAGCGAGACGCCCGTTTCGTGACTCAGACTCCTCTGGTTTCAAAGCAGATCGCGAAGATGTCTAAAGCAAGGAGCGAGGCGATCGTTTCGTGGCTCAGACCCCTCTGCTTTCACAGCAGGCGGATACGACCGATCTGGCCGATCAATCGGTTAGAAGGCCAAGTCATCGGATCAGCCAAGCAACTGGTCGAACGCAGACGAGCCGATAAGCCGATCAGTGGCCTATCAGCAGTCTGGCAGCCGATCAATCAGCCGATCAGCTGATCAACGGTCGAGCAGCCGATCAGCCGATCAGCCGATCAGTGGTCCAGCGGCCGATCAGCCGATCAGCCGATCAACGGTCGAGCAGCCGATTCAGCCGATCAGCCGATCAGCCGCAGGCCAGCCGATCAGCCGATCAGCCGATCAGCCGATAATATTGATCGGCTGATCGGCTGATCGGCTGGCCTGCGTCTGATCGGCTGATCGGCTGAATCGAATAACCCGCCCCCGGGCTGCCGTCGCAATGAAAATGTGGCTCTCGCCTTAGTGCCGCGCACACTCGTTTTTAAACTTTGCAAGAGTTTCACGGATTCCCATGATCAACGTACCAGAAACGGCATTTGGGAAGGATTCCGGATTGTGGGGGCGCAACAGTTATGTTGATTCGCTGTGTTGAAGTCCCCAGACATTGCGCTCTCGCACGATAATGGATCGTTACGTGGCGTTGGAATCCCGAGAACAATGTTTTGGCACGCTACAGGATCTTCCAACTGTTGTCTTCCAACGAGGCAATTCCCTCAATGGACATGAACCGCTATAGGGGCCTATGAAGAGGGAACGTGGAGGGAGGGTTAATTCCAACATCGTTGATGACTCTTGGGTTTCCACTGGTCCTCCTCCTCCTCCTCCTCCTCCTCCTCCTCCTCCGCCTCCGCCTCCTCCTGCTCTGCCGCCTCCTCCTCCGCCTCCTCCTGCTCCTCCTTCTCCTCCTCCTCCTCCTCCTCCTCCGCCTCCTCCGCCTCCTCCTCCTCCTCCTCCTTCCTCCTCCTCCTCCTCCTCCTCCTCCTGCTCCTCCTCCTCCCCTCCTCCTCCTCCCCTTCCTCCTCCTCCTCCTCCTCCTCCTCCTCCTCCTCCTCCTCCTCCTCCTACTCCTCCTCTCTCCTCCTCCTCCTCTTCCTCCTCCTACTCCATTCGTTTCCCTCATACATAATTTCTCCCTGTCGCACCCCGAAGCCAGTTTCCAGGGCGGGCCGGGCGTTTCGCCTGCGACTTCCTCACAACTTGTGACCCTGAATATTTTAAGTTGACAACAGCTTCACACATGGAGGGCGGGTGGCTTTCAAGAAGTGGCTCTCGCTTTTGCGCCGCGTACGTTCGTTTCAAGCATTTACAAGAGCTTCACTGCTTGAGGGCGGGCCGTTCTCAAAATGCGGCTTTCGCCTTAGCGCCGCGCGCGCCGTTTTCGAAATGTGACTCTCGCCATAGCGCCGCCCATATTCGTTCTCAACACTTGCAATAATCACACGGATTGAGGGCGGTTCCTTTTCAAATGTGGTTCTCGTCTTAGCGCTGCGCACATTCGTTCAACAATTACAAGAGCTTCACGGATCCCCAGGATCAGCATACCCAAAACTGAGTTCTGGAAGGACTCAGGATTATGAGGGTGCAACAGTTACGTTGACCCGCTGCGCCGAAGACTCAGGAATAATGTTCTGGCACGATATGAAATCGCCAAGGCGCATCAGTCAGGTTGATCCGTGGCACAGGGATCCCGAAAACATTGTTTCGGCATAATTGAGGGTCTTGAAACGGTTGTAATCCAAAGAGACAATTCCGGCAGTGGAGATGACCCCTTGTGGGGGCAATTGAAAAGGGAGCTTGGAGGGAGAGTTGATTCCATCATCGATGATGCCTCTTGGATTTCCAGTGGTCCTCCTCCTCCTCCTCCTGCTCCTCTTCCTCCTCCTCCTCCTCCTCCTCCTCCTCCTCCTCCTCCTCCCTATCCCCGTCCCCTTTTCCCCTGCCCCTCCCCCTCCCCCTCCCCTTTATCCTCCTCCTCTTCCTCCTGCTCCTTTTCCTCCTCCTCTTCCTCCTTTTCGCCCTCCTCCTCCTCCTCCTCCTCCTCCTCCTCCTCCTCCTCCTCCTTCCCAACATTCCCTGCAGGCACCCTTCTTTCGCGCCTTCTCCCTCCACGTCTCCTTCCCCTTCTCCAGGCCATTTTCCTCCGTTCCTGCCTCCGCGGTCCCTCTTCCCCTCCCCTCCTCCCTTCCCTCTCCCCTCCCCAGCATGCCCCGCAAGTCATCCCCTTCTCCGCGTCTTCCCCCATCCCCTCGCGTCCACATCCCCTCCGGCGCATGAAGTCGTCGAGGTTGCGTTCCATCTCCTGGTCGTTGCGGTCGGCAGACCACCGCCCCTTCTTGCCGCGAGCGGACGTGCC